TAAATTTAACGATACCAAATTAAAGAAATTTTTCTTATAATATTAAAAGGAAGCAAGTGTGTGACATTTTTATTAAGGTACAGCCTTATACTAATATTTATCACATACAGTACATTGTATTATTTCTGAATTAAAATTGTCTCTCTTCTCTTTAGACATTTCCTTCTCTTCTATCTTTCTACAGGTTTCAACTCAATGTTTTTAGAGAATATCAAGTAGGATAATTTATAGGTAAATCTTAGGGAAAAATTAATGATTTATAGCTAAATTTTTTAAAAGGCAAAGTTTAAGGAGTGAGAAGTGAAAGAAAATGTCATTTTTCAGCCCCACTTATAATATTCAATTTTAAGTCCTACAAGTCTTCTTTAAGGAATCTAGTCCGTGTATGTTCTATTAAAAGTATTCACAGTGAATTAAAAATTGAGAGATACTATATTGCATGGCATGAATTTTTATCCGATAGGAATATGGTGATAATTTATAGGTAGATCAAAGTTAATATTAGAGAATAAATATATTTTATACTTTTGCATAATGTCAAGTCCTCAACTCTTGTATGTCTCAGTAAAATACTTTTATCTCCTGAAGTCTTGTTCTACATCTCTGGAGTTGGTACAATACAGCTTGTATTACACTATGCCCCCAAACTGGTATTTCTTTGATGTCAGAACTCCTTGTTCAATTTTCAACTTCATTTAATAAGTATTTGCTACAGATGGGGATTATAAAGTACAGCTCTTCCATGACAGAGCTCACAGTTATGTTGGAAAAATTGTTTATACCCTTTAGACAGTTAAGCTAATTTGCATACAGTAATTCAAACAGTGAGAACTTGAATAAGATCAAGTGTCATAGCGAAACAAAATTAAGCATTTCTCATTTTATTCTGTTACTCCTTTAATCTCACCCATACTGACTGCACTTTCTGTCTCCTATTGATGTCTCCAACTGAGCTTCAGCAAGTAGTCCCACTTTGAAATGAACACCAGCCCCTCCACAGGGCTACTGTTTCCCCTCCTGAGGTACTTGAGGCAGATTCCAGGAGTTCCCCAGGGCCCACCCATCACCACCCCTAATGGTTCCACCTTCCCATCCTCTCTCACATCCATCCAATTTCCTCCTGCCCCATGAGCTCCACCACTTCTTGTCTACAGCACCAAAACCATTTCCCAGGTGCTGAACTGTTAATCTGTTGTTTCAGAAGAACTAAACCATCCTACGTCATATATCTACAAGAGGGAAAAAGCCAAATTCATCGAAGCGTATACATTAAACATAACACGTGAGCGGGAAAATGTAACTCAGTTTTCAAATCTCAAATGTTTTCAAAACCTAAAAGATGAATGACAGCGAAAAGGAAATAGATACTAGGAAGCAGGGAGATAGATCTTTCTCAGAGGGGAAGGGAATCAAGAAAGAGAGGGAGGGATGAGGGAGCAGAGAGAAAGGGATGAAAAAGGCCTTGAGCTGTGTTACATCTCCCGACTCCCCACAAATAAAAATAAAACTGAAGAAATGAGCAGGATATTTGAAGGTAAACTCACATTTGTTAAAGGTAAGTAGTACATGATAAGCTTCTTTTATGATAATCTGCTGAAAGTTAGCATTTTATTAATTTATATGAAATAAAGATGATGTATTCCTTGAACGTTTGAATGAAACATTCCTTACCATGAAAACATTTAGAACTAAGGCCTTTAGGACATGTTTCTTATTAAGGGGATGTTTACAACTTATAATTCTAAACATTTATAATTTTTAAGATCTATGTACTTTTAGGTTTCTTATGAATTGATTTTGGACATATATATTTTCCTCAAAAGTTATCTATATTATCAAGATTTAAACATTTTACCACTTAATGGGGGGGTTTATATTTTCTTAATATTCTCTTTTTGAATACTTTTTCCTGTGGTTATGATTTACATAGCTAGGCTGTTTTCATTCTCTTTTCTTAATTAGATTTGCCCATAATTTATTCATTTTATTGGACTTCACAGAGAACCAGCTCTTGAATTTTTAAATTAATTTGGGCTTTTTATTTTGCATTTCATTAATTTTCTTGTTTGTATTTTTATGTTGTGAATTCCTTCCCTTTGTTTTTTAGGGTTGTTTTATATTTGCTGCTGCTATTTCTCTGGCTCCTTAGTCTATCTGTATGCATTCTTCTTTAATAGTAAAAGAATTTAAAGTTTTGTGTTTTGCTGAGAGTAGTTTGAGCCAATTTTGATGCATTTCCTTATTGCTATAATTAGTCTATGACTGGAGGATTTTTTTTTTTGTCTTTTTGTGACAGGGTCTCACTATGCAGTTCAGGATGGCCTTGAGCTCACTTTGTAGCCTAAGCTGGCCTCAAACTCGCAGTAATCCTCCTGCCTCAGCCTCCCAAGTGCTGAGATTACAGGCATGTGCCTCATAGTTTTATTTATTCTTGCAGAGAGAATTATTTAAGAGAGGGTTTTCTTAATTTTGCTGGTCTTTAATTATTTTTAATTTTGATTTCAAAATTTATTGCACTGTGCTAAGGACAATAGCCTACAAAATTTATTTATTCTTCGGAAGTGAATTTTCCTGCCTAAAATATGATGAATTTGAATATATTTTCTATGGACTTTTAAAATGATATTTTATATATCAAGTACTATGGACTGAATTGTGCCTCCCTAAGACTTATGCGCTGAAAGTCCTAATTTCTAATGAGACATATTGGGAGATGTGGCCTTTTGGAGATAATTAGGTTTAGATGAGATCACGAGAGTAAGCTGGTATCTTGATCTTGGACTTTCCAGGCTTTAGTATTTGTAGCCTTTCTAAAAGTATGAGAAAATATACTGCCATTATTGGTGCCACCCGGTGTATGTTGTTTTGTTGACAGCCAAACTAAATAGGAATGTCTAACCTGCAGATAGCAGCCGGCATGTGACCCTGGAGAGATGTTAGGAATATGACTGTGCAAGACTGTAGATTCTTAGTATTATTATGTAATTGTCAGAGATGTTTTTCATGGCTTGATTCTATAGTGCTGGAGTTCAGACTCCACAGCAGACACCTGAAGGGTGTCTAGGGGAGGGCATAGTACAGTGCTAACTCCTCCTCCTGTGCGTATTACATAGTTGAGATAAAACCCATATGTGTAATAGATTTAACACATATAGTTTTGTCACTTATACATTTGTTATATTATATATTTTACAAGTAGCCCAAGACAATTCTACTCATTGTGGACCAAGCAAGCCAAAACGTTGGACACCCATGAGCAAAGACATCCAGTTTACTGATTAAGTTGAATTGTTCTATTGTGCTATATGGCTTCTGTTTCTTTCACCAGCAAATATTAAGGGATGCTCTTTAAAGTTCTGTTACTATGAAAAGCCTGTGGAAGGAAAGTGAAGAATGGAGACCCAGGAGTGTAGAACACTGGAAGAAAGATCTGTGCTAAAGATGAGTAAATATAAATAACCTGACATCAAATTCAAATGTGCTCTAGGGAGCACACCTGAGTCAATGCTGAAATATAACTGAAATATGTGTACACTACTGTTCCTTGTTAACACAGCCTGAAATGGGCAGTGGCTGGATTAAAAGTTTGAAGACTCTTGGGGCTGAACAGTGGGAAAGTTACCAGATGAAAGTGCTCCTGGGGATACGGAAAGTTATAAGAAATTAGGGGATTTTGAAAGAATCTAAGAGAATGCAGATAGATCAGAAAAACTGGGATATTGAACCTATTAGAATAATAGGAAGACAAAAAATCATTAAGGATGGTTGGGCAATTATAACATAAAAAAGCTGTATGTGTAAAAGAGATTCATATGTATTTATAGAAATATCGAAGGACAGATTTTAGCGAACATACTACAGGAGAATTAGGGAAAGAGTACATAATTCTCTCTCTGTCTCTCTGTCTCTCTCTCTTTCTGTCTCTCTCTCTCTCTGAACTCAATCATGCTATTTTTTCTCAATGAAATGTGGCAAGAACCACAATCTCACCAACCTAATTACTTGAATGTTTGTGCATCCCTTTCCAGCTGTTGCTCACGTGTGTCCATATTGGGCTGTGTTATTATTTTATATGGTGAGGAGTACAGTTTTAATTGGAAGCTGGGAACATGCCTAGGGCCAAGACAGAAGTGGATTTTGTTTTTCTGGTAATCAAAGAATCTGGATGAAATAGGTCTGCATTTGGAGTGGGATGAAGAATGTGTCAAGATTGATTATATTAAAAATTAATGGCAGGACAGGGCCACCCACAATGAAATAATGAAAAGTTAAATGTGATTTCATACTGCTTTAATGATTGCACTGAACCATCTACTGCATCTAATCAAGTGGTGCACACTTGCGTACCTTGACCTGTCTTGCTAAATGCAGTTCATGCACTGGAACACTCTAAATGTGGAGGAAATGAATACTTCTCCAGAGGCCTGCAACAAGTATCAGACTGTAGGATACACAGGCTGGAATGGGAAGGATCAGAGAACTAGAGAAGAAAAGCTGCATCTTAACCTCAAGAGCCATCACAAACCTGCCCAAGATATTTATGTGAATAGTGAACTTCAAGTTTCTGTTTAAAAGTTCATCACAAAGGCCATAATTATTTAGTTTAAATCATGTCTCCTACTAATTAATTGATCAGTGCACCCAATAAATATTATAGAGTTCTTACTACATGGCAGGATTTTGCTAGTCACTGGGGGGAGAGAGAGTGCAATGAAACATATTTCACTTCTCCCAGAGCTGGAGAAGTGCAGGAACACTGTAACATCACAGTGGGATCAGGACAGTTAATTATAACATCATTGTAGTCAGGTCTGCAGAGTGTCTGAGGTCATACAGTGAACTCTATGATAAAGACTCAAATTCTTATTTTTTGTTTCTGAGCTCAATATGATTTCTTCTCAAGCAATGCTGCTTGTTACATGTATTAGATATAAGCAATTTAATATGAGCTGTATTTACAAATTAAGAATCATAATAGATTTATTTGAAAATCACCAAACCTGGACGCAGTTGGATTGATACTTCTCCTGGTGTCACCTGGGTATTAATTTCATCTTCACTGGGTATTGTGACACGTACAGATGGGTATTCTATAGACTCCACTGAACAGCCTTTGGTTATTAAATTGGAAACAATATCACAACGTTCACTTCTTGATCCACCTGAAATGAAATCCTGTTTAAAAGAAGGAAAATCACTGATTTTTTTACTGCATATCATTTAGTTATAATTAAAAAAAAACTAAGAAAATACTGCCAAGACACCATTTCCAGTATAGAATAAATTATGCAACTGTTTAAAATAGCTGCATGTTTCTAATAAGAGTGCTGGCAAATTTATCATAAGTAAAACTTAAAATGTCTAAATCTCATCTAAAAAGAAGAAAATATATTATTAAAGGGGAGATTTACACCAAGCACTTTTAGTTAACTGAGCATTGTAAAATTACACCAATTTAATTCTTTCCAAATATTTACTTTAGAAAGATAGATCCAAAAGAATATTTAACCAAAATAGACCATTTGGTGCATCCAAATGTGACTCTCAGTTCTCAAAGAATTCAACTGGTATGTTTATTATATATTGTTATGTTTAGAATATGAGAGAAAGTCTTTAGAAATCATATGCCTAATTGAATACTGAAAATTCATAATCGTAATCTAATTCCTTAGGCCATCAAATTACCAGACTTTTTATACATAAAATAGCCTGTAAATGATTCAATAAACCAAGGAAAATGCTTGGGATGGGATGGAAAGATGTAAGATCAGAACTCAAATTTGCTGACTCTGGAACTGATTCTAAAACTTGCACTATCATTCAGCATTGAATAGCTAATAGCTATCCAGGAGCCATGCAAGTAATCTCAAATTAATGGAGTAAGTTTTAATTTATCCTCAATGAGAAGAAATGGATATTTTAATTTTTCATACAGACATTCTGACTTTTCCCTCAGAATAGAAAGTGTAGTGAAAAGTATACATATATATTTTATTTTATTTTGTTTGTTTGTTTTGAGACAGGGTCTCACTATGAAGTTTAGGCTGGCCTTAAACTCACTCTGTAGCTCAGGGTGGCCTTGAACTTGCAGTGATCCTCCTGCCCAAGCCTCCCAGGGGCTCAGATTACAAGTGTGCACCACCACACCTGGCTATGTTTTGCTTTCTATTTTGTTGCTGTGAATTATGTGGGATCTATGCTTATCCAGAAGCTTGGTGTTTGCTCTGTGCTCTTCATGACAGTTGCTATTTTGAGCCATTAGTCATCATTTTTCCTGTATTTTTGATAATTCAGAGAACTAGGTTTCTAATCAGCTAACCATTCAGTTAAAGCATGTTGAATATTTCCTCAGGGACCAAAGTTTGTCAGGTGTGTGAAATATAGCAAGGCAAACTGAGTCTTTATCATCAAAATCAATAGGACATGGGTGATTTTAGTCCTGAATCAGGTAAATGTAATTATCACGAGAACTGAGTTTAGAGAACTACAGAATGCCAAGAGTTATACAGATGGGACCATCAAGTGTGTATAGACATGAGTGTTGAATATGAGGTCGCTGATTAAAAATAGGGACATTCTGGCATGGGATTATGGTATATAAATAATGTGGAGTTCTTTAGAGAAAGGTGGCAAATAACAGCTACAGCATGAATCACATTCTTCCCGAGAGCTGCAAGCTAAGTGGAAGACTCATTTCTCCCAAACGTGGGGAATATTGAGAGTATGTGAAGCTTGGTATGTGTTTACTCATTCATAACTCACATGACTTGATACAGACAAAGGGCCATAAGCATTTTACAGATGTAAGCGCCCAAATATTTCAAGTAGTAGAAGAGGAATAATGTGCAAATAGCTTTAAATTTTCTCTTCAGCCAGCCAGGGATTCTATTATATGTGTATACAGAATGGAGAAGAAGGACGGGGAGGTTAATTTACTGTAACTATGCAGCCATCTTTTTATGTAATCTTGAAACATCAAATAGTTTTGCTGAAACTGTCAAACTATTCTCAATTATTTTGCAATGTCTGAATCAGCATGGCTGTTTTTACTCTAGTATAAAAACGAACTCAGGAAAATGCTGCCAACAAGCCAATTAGGTTTGAAAAGGGAAGAAAACGCCCATGGCATCAAACTTAAGAGTGGAATGCTGCCCTTACCCATTGTGGCCTACTTTTCACTTTGTATAAAAGAAAAGCAATTTGAAACCGCACCCTTTTAATTTTTGGTCTTTTGTGTCATTTTAATGTCTTCTAATCTTTATGTTTTACCTTTTTCTACAAGAAAAACACACACAGGCAACTTTCTGCATCTAAAACCTTGTTGAGAATGAAAAGTCCAAGGTAAGGTCACTGTGGCTGGCTTTTTAAAATTATTACTTTTATTCATTTTAATATAATGTTCTGTTGATATAAATAAAACAAGCTTTTTTCTCCAATTTCCTATCTGAATCTTTTGGACTTCCAAACACTGCATCCTGCACAGAAGTGGAAGATCCCTGTCATCCTCCTTTCAACACTGAATGTCTTTCTTCTCATAGTTTAGGACAGTAGGGGCAAACCTATGACATGTGTACTGCAATGGGCTGTTTGTATCACTGAACATTTTAGGTTCACTATCACTGATTTAGGGTAACTATCCCCTGAAGTTACCCTCTGAACTTCTGTGATACCCTGTCTTAGTTACTTTTCTCTCATTGCTGAGACAAAATACCTGATACCCAGAATTAAGGAAGGAAAGGTTTATTTAGCTCACAGTTTGTGGAGGTTTCAGTCCATACTCAGCTGGCTCCAAGGCAGAGTGGCACATGGCAGAGGGCAACAGTTCATGGCAGCAGAAGAGAGCAAAAGCAACAAGAGCAAAAGGGACGAGTGGCAGCAAGCAAGCCTCTTTCCCTCCCTTATATTGCATGCATGCAAGCTACCTATCCGAGGGTGGGTGTAGCCCATAATCTCAGCATTGGACCAGGAATTAATCATAAGCTCTAGAAGCCTGCCCCATGACTGCATGAAGCTTTAGGGAGGACATCCAGACACAAACCATAACATACCCCGTGAGATGCACCAGCCAAGAAGAGAGTTCTAGCATAGGTGTTAGCAAGAAACATTAACCTAGGTAATATTGATAAAGTCCTTTCTATTATAATTATCTTCTGATAACTTTTATATAGTGTAAGAAGAAAGAGAAAATAAAGGATATGGAATGGCAAATTAACATGTTGCATGAGAAAGCAAGCAAACTCAGCATACGCTGTGTAAATTTTTTAGTGGCTTTTTTACTTTTGACAAATTACATAGGCCAGGTTTATTTTGTTACTGTTCTCATTATGAGAAAAGAAACTTCCTTGTCCTTCCTTTTACTTCCAGCTTTACTAGCTGAGAAACAATACACCAAGTGCGTCTGTGCTTCAGTGATGGGTGATCTTCCAAAATTCAACAATACATTCTACCTGCTGATGATGTCAGTTTAGAGAGCAGGGAGTGCACAGCTCCTTCTTTAGTGATGTGGAAGATAATGGTGGCCATGTCCAAGCATGTATCTCCTGAGGTTATACTATTAACCCAGGCAATGTTCCTTGTTTTCTGAACTACACAAAGTCTATATGGTTGCATCTCCCATATCTTAAGCAATGCCTGTGTGCTATTTGCCTCTCACATATTGTTTACTTACATCTTCACAATAGTGCAAGAAAGGTGTCACTAATATTTCTATTTTAGAGGTAGGGAAAACTGAGGTTCAGAGTACCCAGTAACATGTCCAAATTTACACAGTTAAAAACTGGTTGAATTAGGACTTGCATCCAATTCAGTCTCTTTAGAGTCTGGTTTTTGAATACATAAATTAGGTTACATTGCACTGCATATAATATTTAGGGTCATGCACAGCCAAGAGACTTACTGAATGTGTTTCTTGAGGTCCCATCTGAAGGATTTGCCAGCAAAGGACACAGGTTTGCTTCCTTTCCTTGGACAGTCACCTTCCTTCCCCCTTGCCTTATCTTCTTCCATCTGACTACTCAACTTTCTGGGAAACCCAAATCCCTCCTTCTATGGTAGGACTGACTGCTATTCCCAGAGCTGCGACTTTGCTGACTTTTCATGACAGTCAGAGTTGTGAGATGGAGTAGGGGCCCCTCTGAAATCTGCCATTAAAATGAATGACAACTGGGCTTCTAAACCATTGTTTAAATGCTCTTCCAAGCTTCCTGCCCCTAAGCATTTTCTAGCCTAGGTCAGGTGGGCTCAGAATTCAGGGCTCTAAGAGCCTTTCTTGGTGACACAGTAAGACTTCCAAATGGAGTACTAGCTTAGAGCTGGGAAATACCAAGCCATCAAACATTCTGAATAAAGAGAAAACCTATTAGTAAATTCCAAATTTGAGATTACAGGGATGATGCAAGGGAGGCTCCAGGAGTGGATGAATTCTGTCTTGTCTCGGCTAATCAGAAGTGACGGGACTGGATCTGGACATTCCAGAATTGGGCTCTCTGTGGTCTTCATTGCCTGGTTCCGAGGTTTGTGGTGAATCACTTCCTAGTGTGTGAATGACACTGAATTTTCTCACTGGTGGAGCCCAGAATATATCAAAGGCTCTTCCGAGTATAAGCGAGAAAGGGTGACTTGCATTTTGTGTGCGCTTTTCCTGCTTCTGCTCTGATTTGGTTCACAGAAGGAAGTGATGCCAACACCCACCGTCTTTGGCTACTTCTCTGTTTCCTTTCTCTGTCTAGGGGATGGCCCAGAACAAGCAGTAACAACAAAAGGTGGAAGGGTGATGGTAAGTATAGTTGTTGAGTTAAATCAGAGGAGACAAATGCTACAGATTTATCTCCATGTCAAGCAAAAGGTTCTTAAAAACCTATCAGTTCCAGTTCCCAGAAGCTGCATAAATAACTGTACATAAATAACTGTATAATAGCTCAGGCAATTTCATCAAAGAAAAAAAAATCCCCAATTCAGCAGGTTTTTTAGGCAACTTTTTATATACAGGTAGTTCTGATGAAGAAGTACCAACTAAAGAAAAAAATAGGGGCTGGGGATTTGGCTCAGCAGCGCAGGCCCTGCCTGGCAAGCGCGTGGTCGTGAGTTCAATTCCCAGTACTGGAAAGAAACCAAAAAAAAAAATCTGCAAAACAAATTTAGAGCCAAGAAAGGACCAATGAATTACAATTGTTGTACTAAGAATTTTGTCTTGAGGATTTATTTCTCTTGGTAGAATACAAAGATACTAATTTTGAACAATAAACATTTTCTAAATTTTTTTTTTCATTTTTAAAATAAAAGGAGGAAAACATTAACAGACATACAACCTTTATCTAAATTATTCTTCATTCCATGGAATTAAAGAGTACACAATATCTCGTGAATAGGATCATGTGTCAAAGGAAAAGCACCACATTTTTCGTAAGTAAAAAACAAATTGAGGTACAATGTTAGGAAATGGAGCACATGAGTTACCTTCAAGTTTTCAAGTGAAAACAAATGAAATGGATGAATACACTAGCTTACTTTTCTTTAATAAGCAATCACAAGAGAACAATCCAACTTAGGGAAAACCTCACACCTCAAGGTGCGGCATAAATTTCCCACCAAAGCTTGCTGAACTATCAAAAGTTACTATCTGTGTTTGCCAATTCCTTCTATAGGACAGATGGAAAACATAACATGGTTTGCACCTCATTTCAAAATTATTATAATTTTCCCAATAAAAGCTATATTTAATTTTATATTCAGCCAGATATGCTATTTCTAACAGCATAAAATCAAATAATTTTTCGTGATGCTCAGTATTATCTTTTTTTTTTTCTTGATGCACCATCAAGGCACAAAATATTAGGGAATGAAATAATGCTGAAGACGAAGTCAAGTGTGAGGAAAAGAAGAAAGAAAAAGAAAAAGCTCACCTCTTGAACACACCATCCGCACTCTGGACCCAGCTCAAGGCAGCGGGTACATGATGCTGCGTTTGAAGAGACACATCGATTGTCTTCTGTAACAGAGGACAAAGTGAATCCTTAGGGTTACTCTCAGTAAGAAGGCATACAGTTCCAACAAAAATTTACTTAAAAACAGAAACAGGATGAACTTTTGCTTTAAATACATGACATCAAATAATACATAATTTCATTAGAGTTTATGTTGCTTATTCAGATAATTAAACACTAAATCTATTGGAAGAGAAAGTAGGTAAAAACCTCGAAGACATAGGGGTAGGCAGAGAGTTCATGAATAAAAACCAAATTGCACGTGAAACACTTGAAAGAATCAACAACTGGGATCTCATCCTACTGAAAAGTTTCTGCACATCTAAAGAAATCACCAGCAGAGTCAAAAGAAAACCAACAAACTTGGAAAAAATTTTAGCTGATTGTCCCTCAGACAAAGGGCTTCTATCTAGAACATATAAAGAATTAAAAAATTTCAGCCCCTCCAAATTCAAAGACCCAATCCAAAAATGGGCAGCTGAGATGAACACACATTTCTCAGACAAGGAGATACAAACGGCAAATAAATATATGAGAAAATGTTCAACATCATTAGTCATTCGAGAAATGCAAATTAAAACAACACTAAGATTCCACCTTACCCCAGTAAGAATGGCTAGCATTAAGAAATCAACCAATAACAAATGCTGGCGAGGCTGTGGAGAAATAGGAACCCTTCTCCACTGCTGGTGGGAATGCAGACTGGTGAAACCACTGTGGAAATCAGTTTGGAGATTCCTCCGAAAACTAGGTTTAGAGGTCCCATTCAACCCAGCTATCCCCCTGCTGGGTATTTTCCCAGAAGATCTAAAAACATCATATCACAGTGATATATGTGCACCTATGTTCATAGCAGCACAATTTGTAATTGCTAAAATGTGGAAGCAACCCAAATGTCCATCCACCGAGGATTGGATAAGAAAATTATGGTACTTTTATATAATGGAATATTACTCAGCTGTAAAGAAAGATAAACTCGAGGCCTTTATATTTAAATGGTCACAACTAGAGACCATACTCATAAGTGAAATAAATCAAACATACATGTGCAAGCACCGCATTGTGTCACTAGTGTAAAACTTGAAAGAGTTAAGTTAAACTCGGAGGTATGATAGACACTGTGAAATGATAGGAAACCACCGAAGAGTAAAGGGCTTCTGGGATGTGGGAAGAGAGAAGGGAAAGAAGGAGAAATTTTGTATGTATGTATATACAGGATAGATAACATGGTTGTTCTTCTATCTGCTGTTTCTATGCTGAAAGAAACTGTCAATGAGTCTTTGGTTGACCAGTATTGCATGTCTATATCTGTTTTCATGAGAAGCCACTTTGAAGATATCAATATGTAATACAACCACCATTGTTAATTCCCTACCACTTTGGAACTCTGTATTGTCTGTATTGTGCTTGTGATATGTTGTAAAATGTTGTATGTCTGTTAATGTTTCCCTCCTTTTATCCTTAAAAAAAAAAAAAAAAAAAAAGTTTTATAAAATTGGTGGGAGAGGGTAACAAAAATGTGACTTGAGATAGATTTTGGAATTTGGCTTGAATTCTGCTGCCATAGTATGAGATCTTCCAGAATTTTTAATGCATTGAAGTCTTGCTAAATTTCATGTGCTCTGAACCAAGCAAGTACTTTTTTTTGGTTCTAAAGTATTTCTGTAAAAAAAAAAAAATTACAAACTCTATAGACATCAGTCTTAACAAGTAAAGCCATGTTGAGTTATACTGAATGAAGCTTCTGAGAAATGATCTAGATGAACATCTAAAATATTTAAATGGAAACTGATTGTGTTCATATTGACTGTTTTGGTGTGAAGAATATCAGAAACAAACATAATGGCACAATTAAATATTTTAGAAGTGAAATAGTTGAGCTGAGTGAATTGTTTAAGTTAGTGAATTTAATTTCTCAGACTAGATCTCTTTAAGGTCACTAACAATTTACTTTTCCATAGATTCCTGTACTAGAACACATTTTAATCACGCAATGGTGCCAGCAAATTATTTACTTTTATTCCTCTGTACACTAACTACTTTATGTTAAATAAGATTTATTGTTATAGATTTCAGTATGTAAACTACAATATAGAATGAATCACATGGTATTTTATCATGATATTATTGTGAACAACACATCCTTTCCACAGTCTGTCCTTTACCATAAGTGGTCCTAAGGACACTGGAAATCACATCATTCTGCCCATCTCACAGGCACACAGTAAATGAGGTGAACATCCTGGATCGAAGTAACCCAAAAACAAAACAGCATGACAAGAACAAGAGTAATTTCACCAAAGTACGACAGGAACCTGGAAGAAGGGGCTTCCCACTCTGCTTTAGGAACAAAGGCAGGGGCGGAGGGAGGAGGGTGTCTTCATGGTTGGGGGAGCCAGTGACATCTGATACCTCTTTCTATTGTCTCAGTTTGTTTCTTCTAAACTGGTTGTCTGCTTTAAAAATACAATAGTCATTAAAGAAAAGCACGTCTGTGTGTATCTGGGCACATATTCACACAGGGGTGCGGTTGTTCTAAGGGGATATAGAGAATATACCTATCCCAATCCTATTGGCTTCTCTTTCCTTCTCTCTCTCCGAACTTTCCCCTACATTGTGGAATCCAGGATAAAAGAGTTGTTAAATTTGGCATTTTGTGGGTGTTGGCGGTGGGCAGAGAGAGAAAGGGAGCTACAGCAGAGACACTGACGGTGCAGCAGTGAGCACCTGCTCCTGCATTTCCCCATGCCTGGTTTGGGTGAAGGTGAAAACATCCTTTCCTAAACATCTTTGATGTCTTATTATTTAACCTGCATCCCTTGTCCCCTTTGTCCTTGGCTTTGTATCATCTGTTCATATACATTAGCCACAGTTCCACACTGATCTTTATGGAAAGATCTGGCCCAGAATTCCAAGAACTAAAAATAACTAATGGTTTGGCTCCCTTCACTTCCAACTTGGCCACTGAAGTATAAAGTCTCCTTAGCCTAAAAATCTTCCATCTGCCTTGGCCTGCAAAATGTAAAAGTTTTTTAGTCTAAAATACTCAGAAAAGTGAGTGACGTTTTCAGTTTTCTTAGAAAAAATCAATCTATGCCTAGAAATAAAGCACACTGGCAAACTGCCATGGTCTGAGTGCATTCCCTGAGGTTCATGTGCTAGAACTTGGTTTCCAGTGCATAGTGTGAAGAGGTGAGGTCTTCAGGAAGTGACTGGGTCTTAGGTCTTTTCTTGTGAATGGGCTGGGGCCCCTTATGACATGTAACCTTCACATAGTACTTGGCTCTTCTGCTTTTCTGCCCTGTGAAGGCACAAAGCCCTCAACAGACATTAAATATCAGCATCTTTATACTGGGTTCCCCAGCATTCAGATCTCTAAGAAATTTCTGGAAGGCTGGTGATTTAGTTCAAAGGTAGAGTGCTTGCCTAGCATGCAGGAAGCTCTGGGTTTGGTCCCCAGCCCTGCAAAATAAGATAAAGTAAAATAAATTTCAGGGCTTATAAGTTATACAATGTCAGTTATTTGGTTATAGCAACAGGAAAGGACTAATACACAGACCTAATACACAGCTTGTAACAGCTATGAGCCTTGAGCCAAGTGAAACATAAAGGGAGATCTATTTCGGTTCACACTCGACCAAGCCCTTCCCTCAGCAGGTAGAAACTTTAGGACCACAGTCTCATGGAAAGGAACCTGCAGAGTCTTGTATTCTGTTTCTCATGGTTGTTGGATTCTGTCTTAAGTCGACCTGGATTTAAGCTCCTTTTAGGCTCCTACTTTCATAGCACACATGGTGTATAACAAATTAAGAAGCAAAATTATTTCTCTATATTAAATTTCGTTCAAAAACTTCTAGTGTTACCCTTTGTTCTCAAACTGCAGACACCTAAATGTGATGAATGAGAAGGAGAGAGACTTTGGTCCTGTCAATACTTCCCAGTTCCAAGGCTGACATTGCTCAGAGTCTATGTAGCTACAGAAAAAAAAAAAAAATCCCATAAAGGGATGTGGAGGAGGTAGGCTTTGTGGTTCTGCAGAACCGGAGGAGGTCATAAATTGAACTCAGTGGGAACAGTGTCAAACATTATTTCTAGAGAGTGTCATGGCTACACTTCACAGGAGATATGCCAGATATGGTTTGACAGAACATTTAAGGATTTTTGTTTTAATTTTATTCTACAATTGTGGTTGCTGTTTGTTCAGCCATTTGTCTAATGTTGTTTCACTAGATATTCTACCCTTTATTTTCTAGTGTTATGCTTTCTGATGGATAATTTGTTATTGATTCTAATGAAAATTCTTAACACTTGAAGGTGAATGATAGTTTAAAATATATACCTTCAGATTCTCCTTGTGCCTATTTACTTGAGTGCCTCATGGCTCATGTCACTAAAGTGTGTTACCCTGAAAAAGCAGTCAAAGATTTAATGGCCTATTGCCAACAAATGCATGTATTCTAAACAATTCCATTTCTTGATCCAAAAGCATCAGTTTGAGTTTTACTTTTTCCTTTTATGCTACAACTGGACGTAACAGATGGGATGAAGACGTATTGCTGAACAGTTACTGGGAAGTAATTTCTGAACTTCCATAGCACTGACATTTACTAGCTGTGTGCTCTTAGGCTATTGCTTCAATCTCTATGTCTTCATTTCCTCTGCTGCAATACAGGGCTAGCTAGAGCCAGACACAGTGTTAATATGAGGATGAAGTGAGGCCAAGCATATTAGGCAAGTGCTCAGGGCACAGAAGGCATTTAATAAATCAACTGTTATAATGTCATGATAAATAACTGTACTAAATTATGTGTGCTCCTACCCCAAAGCTCCACCAAAAAACTTGTAGATTTAATAGCTGAATTCAGTAGTGTAGCTGGATACAAAGTCAACACTCAAAAATCAATGGCATTCCTGTACACAAACACCCATGGAGAGAGAAATTAGGGAAACAACACCCTTTATGATAGCATTAGAAAAATGAAATGCTTAGGAGTCAATCTAACAG